GCTTCTGTGCAGCACCCTGCAGTGATGCTTCCAATATATGGCCTGGAACAAAAGCCTTAACCCCGCCCCAGGGTATAGTGAGGGGCTCTGGTCCATGTCAGTGGGGCTCTGCTGGCTCCCTTCCTCCCTATCAATCCTGTCCTCTGCCACAGGACCATGCAGGACTAAAGTACAGACCCTTTTCATGGCACCAAGGGTAATGATGTAGCTTAGGGGCTTTGGTGCTGCTGGGAGCCTTGTGCTGGTTCATGCCAGGGGTATCACGTTGCCCAGGTGGCTCTAGGGCACCATCCCATGGGAACACAGATGAGTCCTTTCATGTGATGAGAGTACAGCTCCTACCCTGTGCTGGGAAGAAGTGGAATTATGAGCCTGGCTTGAGCTGCTTCCATAGGAGAGAGAGCTGGTTAGCAGGGATGATACAGCCAGGCTCCATATCATGTACCTGAAACCCCACAAAAAGCCTCTGCCTGAAAAGCAGTGGCAGTAGTAATCAAGGCAAAGGGAGGAGAAGCAGTTTGCCAGAGTGGAGAACAGCAGGCTTGATTCCTCTGCCACGTGACAATTCATCTTTCAGTGTGGATTTAAATGCAGCTTCTGCTCAGGATCCACAAGGGCTCTGAGCTTCTTGCATTCTGTTCTGTGAGGTTCTCTCTGATTTCTATAGGTTTTTCTTTATTAACTGCACACTAATTTTAAATCACACACCACGGCTCACAATTACTCTGCGGGGGAAGAAGCCAAGCAGCCTGCAAAGCTGGTTTGTGGCGCCCAGGACATGGGCGGTTCTATTATAGGAGCTAATGATCTGTCAGAGAGAATAGCAAGAGTTGGTGGGGAGAGTCAGCAGGAGAATACCATCACCTAGTGGTTTTCCATCCAGGATAGCAGGGGTGGAGGAGAAGAAGAGCTATTCCCCAGTACTCGCAGCTCAAATAAGCCTAAAACATCCAGGCACCTAGAATCCATTGGTTGTCAAACACCCTGGAAAATTACATCAGTCCCTCTTAGCCAAGGGATGTACACTCCCCTCCCCCCCATATCCTGCCAAGTTAGACTTGGCTTTAATATTGTTTTTATTGCCACGGTGTCTCCATAGTTTATAAGTGTCTGTATGCTCGGAGCTGTATGTGACTCAAAGGAAGGCAGGGTCCCTGCCCCAAGCAGCCTGCAATCTCAGGCACTGATCCTGTAGCAAAACCTGCTAGGACCCTCCCAGAGCCAATCCTGACTCCTCAAGGCAGGAGAGAGACCTCAGTAATTATCATTTGCTCATTATTAGAGCTGGTTCAGAAAAAAGGATTCTTTTCACCTGAGTAATATAGATGCAAAAGCCCACTGCATGACATATCCAGGCCTTTCTGCAGGAAGTCTTAGAGCATTTCAGTACCCTCTTGTCCAGATCACCTGGCAAGAGAGTTTTGGATTGCTTCTTCTCTGGAAAACCACAGTGTTGATCTGCTGTTTTAAGTCAATGGAGAAAACCAGTGTTTTTCATCCAGTTTGGGTTGCCCTTTGCTCCATCCAGTTTCATTAATCAACAGAAATCTAAATTTTCTTTTTCTCTCTCTCATTTTTGCCCTCCCTCCCCTCCTGTCCTTTCCTCCTGTTCAGGTCCATCCGGGCACAACAGCCCCCTGCTGACATCGTTGCCTATTCCTGGCCGTCCCCTGCATCCGCCCTTGGATATCAAGCACTTTCTGACCTTCAGGCTTAACGGGACATCCCCTCTCAACTTGTTCCCCAACTTCAATACGGTGAGTTATTAAATAGCAGGGGGTGGAAATCAGCTGTTTCCCTGTCTGAAACGGCTCAGGGAAGTGTTTCAGGAACAACCCAGCCATTGAGAGTTTGACACTCACTGTACCTTGCCTAAACCTGTCAAGTGCTGCTTGCATCTAAGGATAGGAAAGGAATAATCCGAAAACATAGGTAATAATTGGAGGCAGCGAGTTGGCCAGAAAGCAGTTAGTGGGTAGGGAGATATCCCGTGGTCCAGGAGAATCCAGTGCAGATGCAGATGGGGCTGATTCTGGGAGACGCAAAGCATCCTCACTTCCACTTGGCTTTGAGTAAGAATGATAATGGTGAGTTCCTGCCAGGACTTGTGCCCCAAGAGGGCTCAGCCTATACGGTTTTGGCCAAATTTTCCAAAGAGTCCAGCAGTGCCCACAGAGCACATAGAGACGTAGCCATGGGTTTCACTCAGGACAGCAAGGGAATCCTGACACCACATTCCCAAAAGAACAACAGGGGTGTCCTACCACCAGACTAAGGAGCAAGAGCAGCTGCAAATACCTGGGTACCAAAATGAAAGTACCTCCAGACTATTAATCACAGCAGGAAGCTGCACTACAAAACGTTACTCAAGGGAGGAGAAGGGCAAGAAAGGCAGCATGACTTGCTCAGGGTCACAAGACAGATTGTTGGTAGGGCCTGGGGCAAGCACTCATATTGCCTAGACCCAGTCCAGTGCCCTACCCACTGCACCATGCTGCTTTATAAATGTCATCACCCCACAAATTCTCTCTTAAGTTTACCCTGGACACTTACTCTATTGTGGCCCCACTCTCCTGCAGTCAGCTCCTATTGATAGAGAAACCCCTGTCTTGTTAGCTACCAGACAAAGGCATATGGCTCCCAGTGCGCAGACCAGGCAGTTTCCTAGTTTGCTAGCATGCTCTTTGACCAATACAAATGAGTGTGTTGAGCCTACATGCACCACTCTGAGCTTGAAGTGAAGTCTGTTTGCAAGACCAGGGTGAGAGTGCTTTAGGTGTGTATGTTGCAAAAAGTCTTGAACTTGATCAGGAGACAAGAATCCTATTTGAAACAAGGGAGCGTCCAAGATCAATCCTGAAAGGTGAATTCCTACTCCATTTATCACTATTATGCTCCAGAATTAAAAAGATGCTTCATTTCAACCAAGATCAATTGGATTTCACTCCCAGAATCAATAGTAATAAAGTTGCTTTGGAGGATAGTTTATTAGTTGAAACAAAAAAAAGAGGGAGAGAGTGTGAGCATCTAAAGATATAAGGCGTCTGCCACCTGCCACATATGGTAAGGTGGGTAATCAGGCCTGCTCTACTTGCTGTGAAATTTCTCCTGGTAGTTTGCTAACTTCAAGGTCATTCTGAAGACAAGTCAAAGGCTTAAGGTATGTGCTGTGATGTGATGTGATATAATAAGATATATAAGATTGTGTCTCAAGTACTTAATATCATGCTCTTTCCTTTTTCCCCCTACCTCCCTGATCAAACATCAGACTATATCAGAAGCTTCTTACTATGGCCAGGAAAGTAAATAGAACTGGTTGGAAAAGAAAAATAAACTTCCTTTGCTATTTTTTGTTTCTGCTAGAAACTGTTTTTTCTTAACTAGTGGACTAGCAGGGTTTCTTTACTTTTTGAGACCCCCTTTCTAAAAAAAATAACAAACAACCTCCCCCCCAACCCCCCCCCCACCAGAGTTTGCAGGTTTTACAGGGAAAATAAATATTTTTAATTACAAATTTTGACCAAAATGAAATCCATTTTTGGTCTGAGTGGGACTTTTCCATAGCAGGTGGCAATTTACTGCCCTGCTGTCTTGGGAGATATCAGTACCAATGAGCAGTGGGTTCCTTGGGGATATAGCATGTGAACAGATGCTTGTGCTAGAAGGTCCTTTCAGAGCCTGGAGGGGCATTTAGAGAGACACAAGCCCAGTTGTGCATCCTCCCATGGAGCCACTGTTCTGACTTGCCAGCCTGGCAAGTCTTTCTCCCCCTGCCACTCCCATGACACTGGCTTTGCCAAGTGAACTTTGGCAAGTCACCTAGGCCAATCTTTTCAGCATTGGCTACCTGAAGTTCATCATCAAAACCTTCACTTGCCCAGGAGCTCAGGGCTTGAAAGTGTAGGCCTGCTTTGAATGTTGTTGGCCCCTCTGTGAAATGGGGGCTGTGATACTGACTTCCCTTTTCCAGACAGCTTTGGCTGCAAACAGACATCTCCTTTGACTGGGAACTGATTGCCCTAAGTTTTGACTGGGATCAGAACAGGAGCAGCACAGCTGTTTACACATAGTCCTCCCAAGTCAATTGCTGCTCTTCTGCCAGTAGGTGGCCAGGGAGAGCACACAACCAGACAGGCTTGTCTCTGGAATGAATCGCAATTGAGTTAAATGAGCCACAATTAGCTTACAGACCACAGCATCATGTGTGCTTGGTGGAGGAGTGTTAGCCCATTTCATCCAACACGCTTCACAGTTTGAAGTGGAACAATGGGTGTGAAGGGCTACAGGATCCAGGTACTTGGAGTAGGACAAGGGGTGTGAACATCTGCAGGATCCTGGGGAAAAGAGCTTTCTACCTTGGTGAAATGCAAGGTGTTTTGAGGTAGGGGCCCAAATGTGTTAAAAAAGCACCAATTAGGAGTGCTGTCTATTAAAGGGGAGATTTTCAGAAACACCGGGCTCCCCTTTCCTCTTGTCTTTGAATGGAAGTCATACACAGAACTCCCTTGGGCTCTTCTGCAACCCCAGATTGAGCCCATCTCTTTCCCCTATAATAATGTGCAGGATCACAGCAGAGGATGCCATTAACACAGCCATTCTTTGCCTGTGTTCCCTTTTTTAGCTGTCAGAGCTAGCAGCTAACTTGAACTGCTCATTATTGTTTATGCCACTTGGCTGTCCTTCCAACATCCCAGAAGCGGTAGCACAACAGTTGTTGGGTGAGAGGAGCATCCACCCTGGACACTTCCTAAAGAGGCAAGCAATGGTTGGGTGAGCGGAGCATCCACCCTGGGTACTACCTAGGGAGTCAGTGTGTTGGCATGGAGCCTGGGGGCGGGAGAGGAGGGAGTGCATCTTCCCCTCCCACTCCCCCTGCACCCTGCAGCAGCTTTTGGTTCCAGCAGCAAGCAGGGAAGAGCAGCAGTGATGGGGCTGGCAATGTCTGGGTAGCAGAAACAGGGTGCTATGAGGGGTGTGGGGAGTGAGAGTGGTGTCAGAGAAGGTTAACTTGTCACCTGCTTTTTTGCCCTTGAACATTGGTGTTTATATGGTTGCTTGACATACTTGTTGGCAGCAAAAAAAGGAGGTGACATTTGCCCTCTGCAGCAGTGAACCTCCAGCTCCTGCCCCTGCACCGTGTATCACTACAGCCCAGGACACAGAACTGGCCAGTTACACCTCTGCCCATAGAGCCTGTGTTCTGTGGTCAGATTGGTGTTGAACATACATTTGTCTCATGCTCGCTGGAAACATCTGATCATGCTGCCCAAGCCTGCAAAATAAGCAGGTAACATTCCACCCTCCTTCCTACAGGGAAGTCCAGGCTTGTGGGCTCCTCTCAACCAGATGCCCTAGTGCATGGAGGCCACTAGTGATTACACACCCAGCTGGGATGGGAGAAGACAAAGCTCTAGCAGTCTGAGACATGGGTGTGTGTGTGCAACGCATCTTTGTGGCTTCTAGAGAAGATCTGCAAAGCTGCAGGTTGCAAATAGCTCTGAATCCTGGCAGGAATAGGTAGCAAGAGAGAACAGCAGGGCATAAGTGTCTATAAGCACTCTGGAGAACTGCGATGAAGCTGTCTGGGCTTCATGGAAACCTTACGCCTCAAGATTACCAGTTTGAATCCAAAGCTGGTCGGTAGATAGCGCAAATCATTTCCATCTGACATGTGTCTGCTTTAAAAAGAAACAGCAGCATTGCAGCTTGGGCTTCTCAGCTAGATCCAGCTTTGCTCAGCTCAGCAGAGAGACCAAGGAGTGACTGGACACCTTTAGAGGCGCTGTCTCCAATGGAGGAGGAACAAGTGCTGGTTAGAATGGCATAGGGCAAGTTCAGCCTGGCATGTATCTCGTGGTCTCAGAGAGGAGTGCAGGCTGCAGGGCCTGAGTGTGGTTACATACTGGCATGGAACTCCCTGCAGACAAAAAGACTGAAAAGAGCCCATGTGGGAAATATAGATTAATGTAATTACCTGGTAGGAAATTGATCCAGGGAGGAAATTGCAGGCAGTGGGAGGAAATAGCCCAGCAATGGGGCTATTTCCAAGCTGTCATGCTCAACAAGACTTGACTTTCAGCTTGGCCCATGTGTTGGACTTTAAATCCTTTTCAGCACCTTGTGGATGAAGTTTACTTCTCAGTTAAAAGCCTGTTGTCTCCTCTTTAGTTCCTCCCATCCCTTTCCTGACATGATCATCAGAGATCCCATCTGCCAGATGAGCCTTAAATGTGAGTTCAGAAGAGCTGGACTTATGTAGGGTCTTTATTTCATTTTTCCAGCTATGCTGGATTACTTTTAGACTTGGTGCAAGCAGAGGGCAGCTCCACTCCAGTCAATTAACTTTCCCTTTGCTTTCACCAAACCCAAGTGCTGGTTGTATTACTGCTGCAACCACAAAACATTATAACAATCATCGCTACTTCAGCAGCATGGAGTGAGAGCTGCCTACTACTGCACAGCAGAATCTTTTTTGCTCTCTGGGCAGGTCACGAGGCTCTCACGAACCCAGCAGATGTTTTGCTCTGAATCCTTCCCAAGCTCTGCACCCTTATGCCCCTCAAAGCAAAACACCATAATAAAGAAGCCATATTTCATGCTCCGAAGGCATGTTCCGGCTATTGCAATGTTGCAAATCCCCAAGATCTAACAGTGTCTTGTAAAACCAGAACAACAAAAGGCACCATCCAAACTAATACTGTCTCCCTATGAATTCCCATTTCTGACCTCGGTGACTGGCAGGAAGTTCAACGCAGAGATCTCTATTTATATCATTAGGAACATCCAGGGATAAATAAAGTAATTTGAGTCCATAGGAATTGACTGTAAAGCTGAGAACTTCACTCTCTGCTCAGGCTGTACCCAAAAACTACTCCCTGGTTTCATGCAACTTCTCTCTGAAGCTAGCAACACAAGGATCCCAGGGCATGCTGGTTAATCTTGCTGGACTCTGGGTCTCAGATGCTTCTCATTGACAGATGCTCCCAAGCAGTAAGAATTGGTATGTACAATCTAAGCAGCAGGGATCTTTCAGCAGAGCTGTGTTTATCACAGACTGGGACAAGAACATCATACTCTGTTTGCTTTTATCAAGGTGCTTTGTTACATGTGGCTGGGCTGAGGAAGAATGTCTGTGTGGGGGGAAGCCCAGTGCCAGACTCTGGGGGGAGAAAACCAGGCTCTAACAGGGTTTTCTGTCTCAAATATCTGCAGCTGTGTATATGTTGAGAGAAAGTTGCCACTGCATCTTGCAAGTAGAAGCAGGGAAATTCTCAGGTGGCTTCAAAGTGTCAGAACCATTCAGCATTACCCAGTGGAAGGAGCCAATTTGTGCTAGCAAAGTCCTCTGTGTGCTCAAAACAGGCTTTTCTCTATGGAGCTGCTCGGTGGAGCAGAGAGATGCCGTGACAAAGTGCCATTCAGTGTTTGTAGCACGAGTGGGCTGAATGCACTGGCCGGATGCACTAGCTCCTTAGAAAGACTATGTGCAGCATGGCTCAACTCCTGGAGCTTTTTCAGAGCTGTTCGCATTGTTTTACTTCAAAATCCACAGAACAATGAGGCAAACCGTCTGTAAACCTTTCTGCAACTGCAGTCACCTTTGTCTTTGGAGAAGTGTGTTGTCTTCAACATTTGATCCAGGGGGTTAGGAGCTAGGACTCTTGGGTTCGCTTCCCAGATCTGAGCTGAAGGAAAACCCGTTGCCTTTCTGTGCATCAGTTATCTGATCTGTAACATGGGGATGTGTCTGGCTGACCTGCTTCTCAATAGTGATATGTAGACACATAAATGAATCTTTAAAAAGCCAGGGGAAGGTGCAAGGTACTATGTGGTGTTATGGTGAAGGATGCTAAACAGTGGTGCAGTGGATAAGGTACTGGCAGGGATTTGAGAGACTTAGTTCTCTGTGGGACTGTTGCTTAGTATGTCTGTGCCTCAGTTTCCCTATCAGTACAATGGGGAAAATAGCACTGCCTTAGTGTACAAGAGAGGTGGGAGACTAAAAGTGTGAGGTTCTCAGGTGTTTCATAATAATGTCCATGTGATGTGCAGAAGTAGGTAAAAGGAAAAAATGTATAATATACACAACACTAGAACTTTCTGAAGTAGACATCGCCACATGACTGGAGAACTGCTTCCCTGGGTTTTGTGAAGCCTTTGTATCTGTGCTCAGAGCAATTAAATTAGTTAGCAAATGACATTAACTGAGCCTGATCTCACTCAGCTTTAGATGTGATTTGTCAGTAGCAGCAGGCAGGGAAGGGACAGCAGTTTTGTGGTCCATTTTCCAAGGAATACACAAAGAAGAGCTAGAAATAGGACAGAAACAAACCAGCTTGCCCTAAGCATGCCTTTCCTTAAAAGGTCTCTTTGGGGGGCATCTGGTTAATGCCACTCCCAGATGGGTACATGGCACATTTCTGGTAGTGGTCTCTTGGGTACAGCCTGGTTTCATAGTTTCATAATTTGTAGGGTCGGAAGGGACCTGAGCAAATCATCAAGTCCGACCCCCTGCCATGGCAGGAAAGAGTACTGGGGTCAAGTGACCCCAACAAGGTGTTCATCCAGCCTCCTTTTGAAGACCCCCAGGGTGGGAGCGAGCACCACTTCCCTTGGAAGTAGGTTGCAGATCCTAGCCACCCTGACCACGAAGTAGTGCCTCCTGATGTCTAGTCTGAATCTACTCTCTGTCAACTTATGGTCGTTATTCCTTGTTACTCTAGGTAGTGCTCGGGGGAACAGGGACTCCCCCAATGCCTGCTGGTTTCCCTTGGCCAGTTTATAGAAGGCCACCAGATCCCCTCTCAGCCTTCTCTTGTGGGGGCTGAACAGGTTCAGGTCTCGTAGCCTCTCCCTGTAGGGCCTGTCCTGCTGCCCCCTGATCATGTGGGTGGCCCTCCTCTGGACCCTCTCCATGTTGGCCACAACCCTCCTGAAGTGTGGTGCCCAGAACTGGACGCAGTACTCCAGCTGCGGCCTGACCAGTGTCTCATAGAGGGGGAGGATCACCTCTTTGGACCTGCTGGTGATGCATCTGTGGGTGCATGACAAGGTGCGGTTGGCCTTCCTGACCGCATCCCCACATTGGCAGCTCATGTTCATCCAAGATCCTTTTCTGCCTCCGTGCTGATGAGAGGGGAGTTCCCCAGCCTGTAGGTATGCTGCTGGTTCTTTCTCCCTAGGTGCAGTACCCTGCACTTGTCAGTATTGAATCCCATCTTATTCTCATCCGCCCACCCCTGTAACCTGTCCAGATCCAATTGCAGCCTGTCCCTCCCTTCTAACGTGCCGACATCCCCCCACATCTTAGTGTCACCTGCGAATTTGAACAAGGTGCTTTTCACCCCCTCATCCAAGTTGCTGATGAAGATGTTAAACAGTGCAGGCCCGAGGACCGAGCCCTGGGGGACCCCACTGCCCACATCCCTCCAGGTCGAAAATGACCCGTCCATCACCGCTCTGCGTGCGGCCCTCCAGCCAGGTTAGAGATGAGATGACAGATCGACCAGACCCTCCCAGGCACTAGAAGTGAACAGCAATGCCAGCAACAAACAATGAGTGTTCAAAGTCAGAACATACCTGCTGATGAGGAGAAGAGAAGGCAACTTCAGGGCTGTCTGACCACAACACAGACCGCTACTGGGCATGGAGGTTGTTATTGCCATTTTACAGATGTGGCAGTCTGAGGCCTAGATTTTAATGGATGATATCTTGAGGGGTCCTGAGTGGCCACAGGTGATGTCAGTAGCATGAGCGGGGATGCTTGACGTCTTTGAAAATCAGTCCCTGAAGATAACATTTGTTCCTATACTGAGGGTACCAGTACAAGGTGTGTTAAGCCCATTAACCCAGGACTTCAGTAAAACATAGGACTTGTGCTGACTCCTCTTTATATGAGTATAGGGCACAAGGGATTTGCCCAGGGTCACAAAGGAAATCAGTGTCAGAGCTGGGAAATGTACCCAGGAGCTCTGATGCCAGATGCTCCTGTTTAACTGTTTGATTACACTTGCAGCCAGCAGGATTTGCTGGCCTGGTTGCAAATGGAAACTTTCTCATAGGGGGCAGTGTTAGTGAAGCTGGGTTTTTCCTGCAGGCAGTTCCGCCCCTGGGGTGGGGAGCAAATTGGGGTGACTTCCCTGGGCCCCGCATTTCAGGGGGCCCCGTGAAGCCAGGCCGGCTTCATGTCCAACTGCTCACCACTCTCCCCACCACCACCTTGTCTGGGCCCCACACAGGTCAATTTGTCCCAGGCCCCGCACCCTGCTATGGTCTTCTCTGCCTGCAGGGATCCCTGGAGTTTGTTCACAGAAGATTCTGCATTCTTCATATGAGCTGCAACTGTGGCTTCCCCAAAACTGGAAGCAAATGTGTTGCAGTTAATTTGGGATAATTTGCCATCTTTTCCTTAAAATAATGCAGCTAGTGAGTGCAGGACATCGACTGAGGGGAGTGAGAAAGTCCTGTAAAAGAGGATGCTAACAAGTAGCTTGAGATGACGCAGGAATCTAACCCATTGGGAAATGTCATAGAGTTCGTCCCTCTAAAAAGATAGAGTAGTTTGAAGAACCCTCTGGCAGGAGGTGACTGTGCTTTAACTGTGTCTTTCACAGTTGCAAAATGGGGCTTCAAGGCAGTCCTGATGCTTTACCAGAAGCTGAATAAATTCATGTCAGGCGAGTGCTATTAAAGCAAATATGAACTGAATAAAAATTGATTGGACAGTTAAAATGTCCTCTGGTATTGACATTAATGGGAGATACTTTATCTGAAGCATCCAAAATGGACAGCGAAACTTTCTGTGAGGCTGTAATTTAGCAATAATTAATAGGCATGTAAACTGTTACTACATAGCATAAAGGGCCTTTGATCATTAGTGCAACAGTCTTCACTACCCTTTTCTGTTTGTGGCATACAGCTCAGGCCTCATCATATCTGCACCCAAAGTTCAATTTTAGTACTGCATATCTCACAGCCA